ACAAAGTTAACATCCTTATTTAGAAAAAAATTGAAAGTTGACATCCTTATTTAGAAACTGACAAAGTTAATATCCTTAAATAGAAAAAAGTACAAAGTTGGAATCCTTATTTGCACCTTTACTCATAGAGTCGTCATTCTCTTCTAGGGAAACGTGGTATCCCAAGCAAATGAAAACATGTTATCCATGTTTTTTTATCAAATAATTGATGAAATGTGAAAAAAAGATATACTAAAATACTATATTTTTATTACGGTAAAGTGGCCATCAATCCTACCTCCCAAAAAAATTTGGAGTCCGAATCCAAAACGACATCGTTCTCTTAATCCCAGCCCCTCCCCTCTGCCTTTGCCTCTTCTGCAATCATCTCCATCTCTATCTCCGATTCCTTCTCCATCGCCTCTCATCTCCATCGACTACTCTGAATCCTCTGATTCTACTACAATTCATCTTCTCTGTCGATGGTAACCCCTGCTTTTTTTCACTTCTTCTGCAATCATCTCCATCTCCATCTCCATTGATTCCTCCAATTCCTCCAATTTTTCAAATGCAATCCCACGCCAACGGCTTAATCCCCAACACCCACTACTTTAACCCCATTATACTGCTGCAATTCATCATCTCCGTCAATTCTACCGCTGCAATTCATCATTCTTACCTAGCTCTTCCTTCTTCGGCTTAACTCGGAAAAAATTGAACTATATATCACATGAGCTATCATTTTGCATCACAAAATTTTCCCATACCCATTTACTCAAGTAAGCAACCCATCATCATAAAAATTCAATAACATAAAAAACAAACACCAATCAGATTATAATGGAAACTGTACAAAACCAAGTGAACTGAATTTAACAGTACATCATATGCAACAGAAAATCAAGAGGTTAATGAATCATATCCAAAGCTAAATCAAGATCCAATTACCCTTAATCCAAGTAGATCATGTCAAAATTTCATAACATAGAGTTCACCGAAAAAACAAAAGAAGTGAAACCCAACTACTGTGATCAACAAACAAACCCAAGAAGATTACTTGAACAGGGGCAGCAAAAAAACCTGACATTAATGCAAAAAATCAGTGGGTTTCTTGTGTATATGCCAACAATTTTTCATCTGCACCAAGGATGCAAATGCAGCAGCAGCAGCAGTAGCCAGCATAAAAAAAAATGAAAAGGAAAAAGCAGAAGCAAGCAGTGCAGCTACACTACCAGAGCCAACATTCTACATTCTATCTGTGTTTACTATAGCCACTCCGTTCTCATTCTCTAAACCCCTTTGAGTGTTGTGGCTCATCTTCCCTCTCAGCCATTGGTGGAAGCGATGATTCATACCTTGAAGGCTTCCTCTTGAAATGCCGCTCATCGTCGTTAGACTCATAATCTAACGCACTGCTACTGCTCTTCTTTACACCGGTGGAAACAGCCTTGGCAACAGCAACAGATGATGATGACTTATGTTCATCGTAGTAACCATTGGAAGCCGCCTTGTCATGAGTAGAAGAAGATGCAGGTTCAGAGGACAACTTGCATATCTTATTGGCCTCTTCCTCAAGGAAACATATGTGAGAGAAGACGCTCCCTTTATGCTTCCTGTCTGCGGTAGTTGTTGTTGGAGATACAGAAGCGGCTTTAGTGGCTGCTTCAGTCTTGGGCTCTGCAGAGGACTCTGAGCGATGGTGATGGTGGTGGCGGTCACGGTCTTTCTCACGGTCATCGTAATCGTATCAAATTTTGTGATGCAAAATGATAGCTCATGTGATATATAGTTCAATTTTTTTCGGGTTAAGTCGAAGAAGGAAGAGCTAGGTAAGAATGATGAATTGCAACGGTAGAATCGACGGAGATGATGAATTGCAACAACATAATGGGGTTAAAGTAGTGGGTGTTGGGGATTAAGCCGCTGGCGTGGGATTGCATTTGAAAAATTGGAGAAATTGGAGGAATCGATGGAGATGGAGATGGAGATGGAGATGATTGCAGAAGAAGTGAAAAAAAGCAGGGGTTACCATCGACAGAGAAGATGAATTGCAGTGGAATCAGAGGATTCAGAGTAGTCGATGGAGATGAGAGGCGATGGAGAAGGAATCGGAGATAGAGATGGAGATGATTGCAGAAGAGGCAAAGGCAAAGGGGAGGGGCTGGGATTAAGAGAATGACGTAGTTTTGGATTCGGACTCTAAATTTTTTTTAGGAGGTAGGACTGATGACCACTTTACCGTTTTTATTAACCCGAAGAAAAATACTATATTAGTGGTATTCCAAGATACAACAGAAAATCTCCCTTCTATTAGTATTAGTTTAGAAAGTATAACTGTGTAAATAGTAACTCGGTTGTATTCGAGCTTACTTGGATTATTCATTTCAGTTAAAAGATCTCATGTTAATAAGTAATTTAAACCGGGTCTTGGAGGATTCAAGGCGGTGAAATTATGATCTGCGTATATCCCTACTGTACTTCTTGTGAGGGACTAATCTGTACACTACCGTCGGATGAACGCCGAACATCCAACTATAGGATGAAAGGCTGACCAGAATGACATCACCTTTCCTTGCCACCTTCATCCTCAACAAACGACATCATGATTGGTGTTGTATTAAATCTATTGACATAGGAATTAATACATATAAACTTTTATGAAATTGCAATATATTGTAGTGATTTACGATTGAAAAAAAAGAGTTTATCATGTAAAAAGTAACTTTCGAGAACCATAAATATACCTTTAATCACTCCATGTAAGGTAGATCCATTATAACTTTAGTTTTTATAATAGAATAGCTTGTTCTTATTAGAATCTTTTATATATTAATTTGAATGTCAAAGTATCTATCCCAAGATTTAATATCAAGTCTTATAGGTATTTTGACGAGAGACTGAAGCAGTTGGCTTATGCGTTCTTCGCTTGAGCCATTACTTGCAACTACCCTTCTATTGCTATCCAATGGAAGCATTTTTTCTCATAAAAAAAAAAAATATATTGGTAGGATTAGACAAAATCCATAGTGGCTTCTATTAGAATGCTACATCAAATAATCCCACAAAAATAGACCCTAAGTTATTTTCATTTAATTTGGTTGGGCTTGAATTGTAAGTATTGGGCAATGCTTAAGATTGAAGGCTTCAATGAAACCAATGAATTCCAATAGAAGTTTGAATGAAGAGCCCATGCGCCAAGACCGAAGCTCAAATATTCCCTAAACCTGTTTCTCTTAACAATCAAGTCAAATAGGCCCTAGTGCGAAATCAATATGAATGGGGAGCATAGAATAGATAACTAAGCTGCCTTTTCTTTTTTTATTTGGTTGGGTTGGATTTAATTTTATAAAATTATTAATTAATTTCGGGTTCAAATTTCTATTTTGATAAGATTTTTGGGTTGTTGGCATGGTTGACTAAGGTATGAAGTTGGGGAAAGTAAGAGTTCCAAGAAGGTAAGGCTTGAATGTTTTCATTCTTTTTATCAAAGTCTTTCTCAATCATTTTGAAGTGGTTTCTTTAACATCATTCTAAAATTAAAAGATTTTAAAGTATTTTCATTATTTGCAACAAAATATTTGAGTTCGTTTATTGTTTTTGATAGGGTTCAAAGCACATACCTATAATTAAGAAAAGGCATGTTAATATGATTAAAGTAGAAAAGATATTTATTTTATTTAAATATGAAAAAATAACAATTATTTTAAAAATATTTTAGTAAAAAATACTGTTAGAGAGGTTAGGATGGTTAGAAAGTCAAGATTGAGAATGATAATGAAAAAAACTTACAAATCTTAATGAGAAAATGTACAAGAAAAATTTATTAAAAGTATTTAAATAATTTTACAAACAAACTTAGCATTTTAAATATTAAAATCTACAAATTGAGAAAAATTAAGATATTTTGTCAATTAAAATATAAAAAATGATAATAAAAAGATAAATATTCTTACTTAATCAAAATATTCATTAATTGAATTTAAATATTTTCACAAATTATTAATATTTTAAATACCAATGCAATAGTTACAATACATGATAAGATTATAAATTTATAATCATAATATAATATTAAACAAATATGATATGTCAAATGTCATTAAATAGGTAATATTACAGGTATATCATAAATAAAAAAATTAATTATATAATTATGTAAATTATATAATAATTTATTATATGATAAACTTAGAAAATCATATTGAGATTATAGCTGTATTATTTTTAACATTTTAACCGCGGTCACATCTTGATTTTTCATTTTCTCAAAAACATACTAACAGAAACAGAACAAAATCATGATTTAAGTCGATCAATGGATTGGAAAAATTAAAAGGCCATTAAGAAAATCCCTCTAAACTTTTGTTAGTTTTATAGAAATGCGACACCCAGCGACACAAAACACCAAAAACAATAGGGAGAACAAACTGGTTGAAGAACTTTATGTAACCCTCAATCAGATAAAATATTACAAGAAATGGGGAATGCCCAACACCAGAAACGTTAAATTCAACAGAATCGAATATCTGGGTATCTCCAGAAAACACCTAGAATTTCAATCAGAGTGAGAGCCGTCGTCATCGCTGGAATCTGGGGGACTGCGATTTTGGGGATCAAAGCACAGATACAGCCATAAGGAGCGGACGAGGCGGCGGAGTTGGTCGAGGGGAAAGCAGCAGAGGAGGTGGAGGACTTGATCGCTGTCTAGGCGCTCCGGATTGCACGCTATGTATTGGCAGAAGTTCGCCGATAAGTTGGCCGTCGCCACCACCGCGGAGCTGTTCAACACCATTTGTTTTTGTCGTCAATACGTTTTTGTTTTCTTCTCTATGCTGTTTTCCTTTTCCCCACTTTTCTCACCTTCCTTCACATGCCTTTCTGTTACCCATTTATTCTCATTTTCCATTTTGACATAAAACTACGTCGTATGACCACTACACATTTGTTCTTTAAAAAAAAAAAATCTTGTTGCTTACCACTCTCATTTTGTATTATAAAATGGATTTATGTTAGGTTAAAAATATAATGAATATATTTTTCATAATGAATTTTCATAAAAGGACATAAAAGTTCTCATTTATTTTAATATTATTAACCCATAATTTTAATTAGTTAATTAATTAAATTAAACTTAATATTTACTTTTTTATATATAAATTAATTATTTTTTATAATAATATATAAATTAATTATGAAAAGTGTATTTATTGCATCCATAACTATAAAAAAAACATTTATAAAATAATTAAGGTTTTTTCTAACTTGTGTTTATTTATAAAATAATTAAAAAATACAATAAATGCATTCTTAACCTATATTTTAAAAGCATATATTAGAAAACTCTAATAATTAATTGTGAATGTTTCACCCTCTCATCTTTCACTTCTCTACTTTTTCATACATTTACATATTCAAGTGATGGTAGTGATTAACTCTCCAGTTTCTCATGTATCAAATGGTGAGCAATTCTTATCTAGTAGTGTGATTAATTCTTGCAACTCCTACGTCTCTCAAGTGATGGGATTAATTCCCCACTTTTCCATGTATATAATAGTGATAAATTCTTGATCCGCACGTTCTGATCTAATGACATTGATCTTGGGTTAGTGGAATCACCTCTGTAGGTTGTAATATTTCAACTTCCACGGGATTTCTTTTCCCATATCCCCTTACCCCCTCCCCCAATTGTAATCAAGTTCAAAAAAAAAAAAAGTGATAAATTCCTATTTGTTAATGATTAATTCTTGTAACATCTACCTTTTTTTGTAGCCTATAGATAGAGCTTGTAACTTCTATAAAACATGCATGAAAAAAGGTATTTTTAACATATGGTCTAAGATTAAAGTACACATTTACATTTTTAAATTTACAAAATCTAATATTAATTTCACCATCAATGTTACATGAATTATTTTAATTAAATAGTTAATTAGATAAATGTTAACTTTTATTTTTTTAATAAAAGTTAATATCAAAGATGTATCTTAGAGTATACATTTGAAAAACTCACGAAAGAAAAGCATAAGAGCACATATTATGAGTATTATAAATACATTTTCTAATTATAAATTTTTATAAAAAAAATAAAAACTAACATTAATTTCGATATCATTATCACATATATAAATTTAATTGAACAATTAATAAAATTAAAAGTTAACTTTTTTTTTTTCAATTACAAATTTATGATTAAAAATGCATTTATTGCACTTTTAATTAAAAAACACAAAATGCAATATCTTTTATTATTAACTTTTCAAACTTCACAGCCTTAATTAATTAGTAATAAAAAAGTTAAATATCCTTAATTAGTAAAAAGAATTTTCTAATTTTTTCCCTAAGCTTCATTAAATGCAATATTTTCTATTAATTTTGCACAAATTTTTATAATAGATTCAATTAAAATAAAATATAAAATATAAAATTAAAATATAATATAATATTTATACTTGAACTTTGTAAAAAAATATGAATCTAATATAAAAATTTGTATAAAATTAATTATAAATTCTATAATTAATAAAGGGTACAAGTTATATAAACCCTTAGTAAAAACTTTAAAGTCCATACTTTATCTGTATCATTTCTCTAGAACCCTCCATAATTTCATTGTCTAAGCTTTCTGTCTGTTTTACAACAGTTTGTAAGTTGTAACACACTCCAATACCCTCTTTTGGATTCTTTTATAAAATGGTTACAAAATAGATAAAATTTGTGTGATAGGAACGGTCCTTTTTGTCACTTAATTAACCCTTTTTTAACTCTCTTAAAATTTTCATTAAAAAAAAAAGAGAGAAAGAATTAACTAACTTCAGAATGCTAGGAAAACTTGAGTTTTGGACCTATCTTGCTTGGGCCTTAAGAGGTATTTATTTTGGGAATTTTTTGAATATTAGTCTAAAAAAAATTTAACTTGAGAATGTTAGGGAGGCTTAAGTAGGCCGTATCTTGGTTGAGTCTAGGTATTGCTTTTGGATATTTTCAATGATTGGCCTGATTTGTGCGTTTAAAAGTATTGATTTTGAGTACTTTTGAAAATTTTAATGGTATTGTTTTATATGTTCAGATAAAGTGATTTATCACTTATTTTTTTAAGTAGAAACACTCACTAAGTTTGATGTTCGAATTCATGATGTTCGAATTCATGAGATGACTTTTCCTCTTCTCCAGTAGAATGTTAGGATTATTTGTAAATTTGTTTAAACAAAAATTTATCATATTAATTTTATAACTAGTCATTTTTAAAAGCATAAGGTATTCAAGCCCAACAAGAAAAGGTCCCTTGTCATATTGATAAGCTAACAAGGAAATTACCATGTCTGTTTGGCTTAACTTTCTTTTAATTAGCTTTTAAGTTAAAAATTCAAAATTTTTGTCTCTTAAGATTTAAAAAAGACATTTGAAATCTACTAGAGGAAAACTTGATTTTAGCAGAAAGAATAACTTTTAAGTTAGTTTTTCCAAAAGCGAAGTTAGTTTTATGTTAAAAACCAAGTTTCCATCCAACAAATTTCAAACTCAAAAAAGGAGATTTTAAATCTTCAGCTTAAAGCAACTTGGAAAAACGCTTAGCTAGGCATCCAAATTATATAATTAAAAAAGCAACCTTTGGCACAACTTGAATGACATTAAACGAATAAATGTATAATGATTTATATAAAATCAATTCATAAAAATAGTTAATCACAAAACATCATGTTATTTTGTACGAAAATATATCAGAAAAGTAAAAGAGCAGTTTGCCCATTGATGAGAAGATAAGCCCCAGTATTGGAGATTCACCTATTCATTAATAGTTAATTGTTTTATAATTCATATAGGCGAAGCGCAAAACGTCATTTTGAAAAATATATTATACTTCAATAAGATCACATCTGAAAAATAGAAAGAAAAGAAAAAAAAAAAAACGTTGGGTATAGGACAACAGTTTAAAGAATCATCAATAACATAAACGAAATAAAGAATGCAAGATTGTTAGCTTCATTATGTAATCCATGAATCAAAAGAATGCTTTGGCCAAAAATAATAAAAGAGCATGCTAAAACAAATGAAAAATGAAACGATAATTGATGTAGCATCTAAATTGTTCTTTTGATTCTCAAGATTATGACATTAAAACATTCATATCCACAAGCTAGAGTAAGATTATCTTGCCAAAAAAAAAAAAAATGAAATTTCAAAACTGAATTCAACTTATTCAGTCAAGATAAACTTTAATGTCGATCCCGTTGTCAATGAGGGATTGAACCACTGCTCGAATTTTCCCTTCAAATTTGTCCCTATCCCTTGGAGTATAAGTAGCAGTGTATACATCAGCCTCCCTTGCCCTCTCAGCTAAAATTTGGCCTACTGCCAGGCATGCAGGGATATCACATCTAGATTTGAGCACCGCTTTAATATCTTTAGAGTTTGTTCCTGCAACTGCAACCTGCTTGCAAGTCACCCTATGGGTGAGTGAAGCTGAAACAAAGCGCTTTGAGATTAAAATATCGAGTGTAAATGGCTCCATGTAGGCTCCAGTCCGTTGTTTAAAAGATATATGCTTGTTTGGATTCTTTGACTTCTTCCCCTTCTGGTAAGTGTAGGGCTTGCTATTGTCATCATCAAGGAAATCCTCTACCCCAAAAAAGCTCCTTGGTGCCCAATGAACCTGTTCATGGCCGAATTCTAAACAAAGCATACACCATAAAATGATACAAAAAATGAAAAGAAGTCCTGCAAATCTGGGGTGGGTTAGTAGTTATGATTTCTGCTAATTCATGACAATATTTTAAGAGAATTGGGAAAAGGTATTTCTTGACAAGTAGAGTTTTGAAGAGCTCTAGAATAAGTAATTGGGGATATCAGAAGCAAGTTAATATGCACACATTAATAAGAGACTGATACTTGCAGATTTGACAAGCAAATATTATTATACTTGCAAACCATGTTGCAGAAAAGTAAACAAGCTCATCCCACCAAAAAGGGGTCGTTACAACTCAAGGTAAAACTAAATCCAACTTCCATTTTCATTTTAAGGTTTGAGGAAGGTGAACTTTGTGAGTGTATAATATGTCTACTCTATTTATTATGTATGGTTTGAAGGGAGGGAAATCCTTTCCTTTATTTTTGCTTTTAATTTCTTCAATTCTTTTAACTTATCCAAATGATATACTTCCATTTCCCTTTCCTCCCCTACTCTCCCCTCCCCTCTGTTTCACTCAAACCAAACATACCCTAAGAGAGCATTGCTAAAACAAAAGTGACTAAAAAGATACCGTTGTTGTGCTAGTGCTGAAGCTATGTATATAATAAAAAGGCTGAAGCCTAATCTCTTAGCAGTTAAAAACTTTTATGCATCATTCACCCAAAAGAATTTGCATTCAGCTTATCAAATCCAAGATTTAAAAAATTTCCAAGCTTTCCACAAAATTCATGATTTTCCTTCCATCAGTTGATTTCAACTCTGCAGAAGGCGTCAATCTTAAGTGCAAGTTACAAGTTACAACATTTGTTGAATAGATACCTATAAGAGATCCAATTCACAATATTCACCATAGAAAACTGTACAATACAAGAGTGGAGTTGGTAAAAGCTGAATATCCTCAAGCTAGTAGACTCAAACTTTCAGTTTTGATACACAATCTCTTACATTTATCCTTAAACCATTAATCCCGAAATAAACTCTACTTAAAACCTTTACAAAAAAATAAAAAAAATCCATCCACTTCAACATTCAAAAACAATATTGATCTTTACATAACTTATTTTTAAGGCAAAAAGCACAAAAATATGTAGAAAATGCAATTCAATCTTCTCTTTTTATTTTCTAGACCAACACCTCATTTGAAGGCACAGAGAGCAGGTGTTCAAAAGCACAAAGAAC